TTCACCATGAATTTGATCGGTTTTGGCGTGTTTGATTTAGGCGAACCGATAAGGTGTCATTCAAGTCTCCCTGTTTCCTTGATTGACACGTGATGTTTACGAAAGTCGCCTCGATAGATAAGATAGAGTTAATACACATGGCTGGGGTATTTGGTTTTTGCTGAGTTCTGTAGTTTTTTGGTAATTGTCCTCCAAAGTTGTATGAAATTAAAGTCTTGAAAAGTGTCACGACAAGCCTTCGCTCGAGTGAAATTTAATTTCCGTAAAACTCTGAAAAATAAAGAGATCCGATCAAACTGATTGTGGTTTTAGTATAGGTACATGAATGTCTTGCAGCACACAAGAAACAAGCGAAATCCGTGTCTCAAGCAAAATCGACCGGACCGCTCTTACAGAGACACTCTCTTAAATTTAAATAAGATATTGTGCCAGTTTGGCCATTGGTCGCAAATACTCGTATGGTTGAGTAAGTGTTGGAATAAACTTGGAACAAAAGCACCAGCTCAGCTTAACCAAGACGAAATATTTCAAATCTCCGTAATTAGAGCGGCACGTGAATCGTTTTCTTGAATGTAGCATTTTTATTATTGAGGAATCATTGCGGTATCAGGAAGTAGACCTAATCACAAGAAAATCCGGCCGAGAAACTGAACGATATTTCACCTATCGTCAGCGACATTTTCATTTCCACAAAAAAGATAAGCTCATGGTATGAAAATCATAAAGAGACTTACCTACGGCATATGAGACTCTTGTTTGGATCAAATTACATTAAACGAATGAGGCTTACATCACCTACCATCCACAACTGAATCAGGTTCAGTGTATTTTGGCATAGAGCCCTGTGGCTGCCTTGTTCGTTAAGTTTAAAATGCTAGCAAAAATGAGCACAGAGGGCAGAGGTTTAAGTTGTAAAAGTACTGTCTGACAGTCACTGGAGCTCGATAAATGAAATTACGCTTATCTCATGTGACACGATGGCTGAGCAAACCAGAAATGAAAAAGACGCATGTACAGGCATGGTTGAACCGTGCGACGAAAAGTGTCAAGCGACGATGCCCACGTAGATGATAATAAATCTGACCTAGACACCTCTTCGCGATCTGTGTACTTGTATAGTTAGTTCATTGGCTAGCGGAAGTTGTTGCAGAGGGGCTGCTCTGAGTCGCGGATTGTGGTCTTACTGTGCTATAGGAAACGAAACTGGAGGAGCTTCTAGTCATGGTAGAGACACAAGAAATAGGTTTTAAGTAGCATAAAATTGTGGCTGTGCAGTGTTGAAATGACACAGGTTTATCAACACAGGTAACAAAACGACTCTCACGGAAACAAACAAAACCGTGCAAACCATGCACAGGGCTGCGATCTCTAGCCGTTTGGTCGTTAGCCGAGACGACAGACATTTTGCTTTAAGAGACTTAAAAAATAACAGATGGTGACTTACCCGCACTCTCTTGACAATAGACAACCAGCAACAGTCCACCGTCGATCGTACCAAAGATCATTCGTAATTTAGTCCCGACTTATAACTCATCCGGGATAGCATTTTGATTTTATGATTAATTAAATCTCAGACTCTTCACGGGCATGTGTTACTTATATGCGATGGATCTGATAGGAAACAAGACAACGCGTGAGAAGACATTTTAAACTCAAGTGAAATTGACAACTGTACAAAGTCCGCCTCTTTGCGCTAGCGAGATGACAATAATTGGTAAAAGAGACGGGTCCTAGTGAATTGAACTCCAGACAATCACGTCCACTCTGACTCGACAATGATCAATTTTTAACTAAGCTACATTAGGAGGGTTAAAAGACCTTAAAAGAATTACAACTCTAATGTACATCGGTTTGGAAAAACAAACATTGCATTTATGTCCATAACGACGACTCTTCTGGTTTTTCAGAACAAAGGAAAAGCATAGAGACTTTATTCAGAGATGTCATCACATTTTTTTCACACTTTACATCTCCATGTTATTCACCTTTTTGTGTCATGCATCATAAATAGATGCATTTGATCCAAATTCCCAATATTTAATGTTCATCTGTAGATTAAGAAATTTGAAGTTTCAAAGAAGTCTCGCAAGTGCTTGAATTTTTCAGAGGCCAAATCACTTTTCAACTGGCTCCGAACAAAAAACGAACACACAGCTAGTTGCCCATTGACAAAATGACATTTTATGTTTTGGAGGTCATGGAGGCTTGGTGAGTAGAGAAACTGTGATCAGACACAATGCACGTGTCTTACTTTCATGCTAAAAAAAAATAATAAAAACAGATAAAAGATAATTTTATTAACACGATTTTCATAAGCGTTAAGCCGATAATAATTAATAAAACCATCAAAATTGAAATTTGAAACTTTTTGCTAAAACATTTGCCTCCTTTTCTTTAATAAATTCGAGCAGTTTCGTAAAGCCAGCGTGGCGATCTTTTCCTAGAGGGCATAGGTACAAAAGAAAACAAAAATACTAGGAAAACTTCTATGTCTGACTGCTTATTCTGTTAAGTTATACACCTGATAAAAAAATTATGTATCGGAGATGATCCGGCATTAGAGCGAAATGACCCACTTTTCGCTATAAAACTTTATCGTGAAGGATCATGCAGCGGGATTCTGAATTGAATGACCTTATAATTGTGTTATTTACTTTATCAATACGGTACTTTATTATGCATTTCCACAACGTTCGCAGTGTTTCAGGATTTCTAGACAATCTATTTCCCTTTGAATAGGCCATTTTACAGTTGTGTACTTAGTTGCCAAGCCTTTGATTTGGAGTGAGGCTTGTTAACCTTGTTAACACTCCACCATCGTTTGATTAATATGTGCACGCTTTTTTTATTTACAGCTGAATCTCTATCACGGTAACTTTGCGTTTCCTGTTATGCCAAAAATAAAATCAAAAACACAAAGTCAAAAGAACAGAAAAGGTAACAAAGGCTAGGAAATCAACTGAAATAATTTTTGTTTGGGATTCCTCGGTACTTCTGTGTTTCCCTTAAGTTAGAAAAATATTACAACCATGCATTACTGCATGCAGAGATTTTCTATACATTTCTCGCGATGAATAATAAAATATAGTATCGTAAAATATGTTTGCATCTCTCCTTTTTGCTTCAAAACTTTCTTCATTTTTATTTCGACTTTGGCAACAGTCTCGTAGATGGGTATTTGAGTAACTTCTTTAGTTGTCCATTGTATAACCTTCTGTAAAGATGCAATGACAAGGAAAACTAGCTTTTGAGAAAACCCACACAATCAGGAGACCCCAAGACTCTTAGTTCTCTTCTTCTTTAGTACATTTTCTGTAGCTAATCAAATCGTATCTCTCTTTTACTCACTGTAGTGCACGCTCTAAAGTACCTTATTAGTGAACATGTGGGTAATGCGCTGACTGTCTTTGCAGAGTTTAACCCCTTGTTCAAAATTCTGACCCGGTCAAGTGTATTTTTTATACAAGTTCACTAAACACATCCAAACATGACCACCGACGAACGTCTTTGTTCAAGAAACAAGCCTCAAAAATAGAGTCAGCACAAACTATTGTTAATATTAAAATTAGAAAAAGATCTTACGGGCACAGCGACTATACAATAATCAGCTAAAACGTTCACAAGTGAAATTTAGAAAACTAAAAATAAAGTTCTCAAAACGACCAGTTTAGAGACAAAAATTCAAGTTCGAGTAATTGCACTACCAGAGGAGAAAGACAACAGTGAAACCTATCGTAAGGGGGTAAGACTGGCACAATCTTTGAATGCTAACTTTAAAAAACCTTGAATCGTAAGAACACTTCACAACACTCTCTTTCTCCATAGAGGCCTTTTCAAAGGGAGGTCGCATCCAAAATCTCCCTGTATTTACTTATCACTACTCAACAATTTAGTCTACAAGAGCAGCTTTCAAAACATAGCAATCCGGCGACAACTAATAAGGCAATGACGTTCTGTGTACCGCAAAGAAATTAACTAAACCGGTACCTTTGGCTAGTGTGTTTGAGGCTCTAAAATGCACGACTAAATGAGAAATAAAACCTATATTTTTATCTCCAAAATCACACTTAAGTAGAGCTAAAAGCCTTGATGACTACTTCAGCAAGAAACAACAACAAGCTCATACTAGAAAAACCAAATATGCCTTTGTTCCAGAGGTACATCAGCGAAGGTTTGCGGACACATTTACTGGTTATATTGTTGCTGCCATCCTCGGAAAAGTAATATTCCCATCACAAATCTCCTTCCAAAACAGCTAATTATAAACTGAAATAGTTTGTTAAATTATTATCGCGAAAGAGTTATGCAAATACACTTAATTAATGCTACCCGCAGCACTGAAGAAACATGTCAATGTTTCCTTTTTTGACCAATGCCCCCATGGGGGTTTCATGACCATTTCAATCAAATTGGAAAACAGACGTTGTAAACAATCATGTAGTGTTTAAAAATCCCAACCAGTAGGGGGCACACCAGTTGGCTGTATACAAAGTGAGTCAAAGAGTCGACCCGAGGGAAAAACGAAACAAATCTAGCGAGTAATCCTCAGCACCCTCACCACACTGAATCAAACATCGAAGAAGCAATGCTAGCATACTTCTTCCTATAGTTCACTCTGCAACGGATCCCCCCTTTTATTCTTACCAGCCGATAGAACGGTTATTGTCGAAATTAGTTGCAATTATCAATTTCTAATGAAATTACTCGGTTTACTACAGTAACTTTTATGAAACCGCATATAGGTGTTTGTATTATATTATATAATTAGTGATACGCAAATCCGTTTTAAACGAGTTTCTATCTTACAGTTACCAAATTGGTAATTATATTCTTGATTCATTCTGGTTTCCAGGTGGTAAGACGACATCTGATGTTTTGATGGTGAGACTTGAAGGCAACTGGCTGCTTTTTCTACTGACGATCCTAGTAAATGCCGTATTTATCTTGGTGCTTAGAAAAATGTACAGCCATGGGTTAACGGCACTGTTGGCGTGTCCAAATCAGAAACACACAAAGCTGACAATCGGCTGTATATGGGCCAAGTCGCACTAGAGGACAATTTCAGATTTGTCCAGGACAAATCTGACTTGAAATCGGCCAGTGACAAAAAATTTGTCCGGAAAGCGACAGTCGCACTTGAGAACAAAATCTGTGAACAAAACATCACACCATGCTGTGAGCGTCACGCAATTTCCCGCGAAGCAGCCTTTACCCGCTGTTTCAATCCACAAACCGCGACACGAGGGATCTCAAAATGTTTCCACGAAGAATTCTAGCAATAATATTTTTCTTCTATTTTCTGGTTCTTCATCAGCAAGCAAATATCAATATCAATTTAATGATATGTTGTCTGTTATTAATGCAGAATTTACGTGCACAAAACATTCTAGTGACACGATGTATTCGCCGACAACGAAATCGTTATCGAAGACGAGCACCATACTATTGGACTCTTCCTCGTCCAGTCGAATCGTGGTTCGAGATCCATTATACTGATCGAACAATACCTGGGGACTACTTTCGAAGGCTCTTACGAATGAACAGAGAAAGCTTTGATTTGTTGCTCAAGGTAATTGGTGACCGGCTGACGAGACAGAATACAGTTCTGCGAAATTGCCTCACTCCTGAAAAGGTCCTTGCTTGTGGTTTGCTTCGCCTTGCACACGGAAATTCATACGAAACAATAGGACCTGCGCTAAACGTCGGCAGAACTACAGCAATAGAGGCTTGTCAAGACGTGGTTGAGGCTCTTTATGACTTAAGGAATGAGTACATCGAATTCCCAACAACAGTGGCCGAGACAATGAGGTGTATAGAGACATTTACGGACAAATCACGACTTCCAAACATTGTTGGGGCCATAGATGGCACTCATATCAAAATAGTTGCTCCTAGAGACAGTGCTGTTGATTATTTTAGTCGAAATCAGCAACATGGTTTCATTATTCAGGCCGTTGCTGACGGTAAGGGATTATTTCTTGACTTTGCAGCGGGTTATCCGGGAAGTATCCACGACGCTAGGGTATATCGAAACAGCTCGCTTTATCTAAGAGCAAGCAACGGAGATATACTCAAGGAACCCGTTGAAAGAATCGGCATCACAGATATTCAGCCTTACCTGGTAGGAGACAGCGCATACCCGATTTCCCCCTGGCTTATGAAGCCTTATCCTGAAGCGACGCGTGACCCTGGCGAGATAACATTTAACAAGGAACTGTCGTCTGCACGAGTAACCATCGAGTGCGCTTTTGGCTGCCTCAAAAGTCGTTGGCGAATTCTACAAAAGCGGTTGGATAGCAGAATAACTTTTTCTGTGAAGATTGCCATTGCTTGTGCAGTGCTGCATAACTTTTGCATTAAAATTGGGGACGAATGGGAGGATGATTTTTACGATGACGATGATGACCACGGAAACGAACAGAACGATGACTTAATGCAGGACGGGGAAGATATAAGAGAGTTGCTAAAAAACAGTCTATGATTCTTCAAATCCCTTTTTAAAGAGAAGTGTGTGATAAAGATAATTTTTGCATTTACAACAAGAAATCAGTTCAAGCAGTACATTCATTTGTTTCCATAATTTCGTTTGATCGATTCGCAACATAAACAATAACATGTCTTTTGATAATGGTCGATAATGATTGTCTCCCAATAGTCCAAAACAGTCTTGAATTAAAGTTCAGTTGTCTTTCTCATTCTGTTGGCCAAGGATTTTCACAATGGAGCCCATAAATTGGTTCATCATGGCTAGCTGCTGCGTCTGTGATTGTTGCAAAGAATCCATAAATGCTGTAACTTTCTCCCCCTGCTGCCTCATATCCTTTAGAGCCATCTTGAACTCTTCGTCGCTGTCATTATCAGAAGCTTTGCGTTTCGAAGCTCGTTTCCCTTTCTTTGACTTGGGGGGCACTTTCGCCGCTGATCCCCGCTTCGGCTACATTATTGAAGGTTACTAGGTCGCGGCATCCAAGGATCTTATCGACCTCATCGTAGTAGACGGATTTCCTAAGGTTTCCTCCTGTTTGGTTTTTGTTCCAATCTTTTGCATTCTTGTATCTTTCTATGATGTACTTCATTTTCCGAATACATTTGTCGGCCGTCTTGTTGGACTGTAGCGCTTTCGAAATCTTCTCAGCGATTCAGGCCCACGTTTTCCTGCACTCTCTGCTTTCCAACTGATCGTGTTTTTCAGCCCATAGTTGGACTAACAGTTTTTCCTCATCTTTAGTCCATCGTTCCTGGGCCTTCTTGTTCTCGGAAGATGTACGGCGCGAAGAAGTTTGGGATGATTCCGGCATTGAGCCGTCTTCGACGAACGGAAAGGATTCTGACAACGAGCCAGAACTTGCGGTTGAAGGAGATGGGCTTGCAGTTCCTCGATCATTAAAATTGTAAGTGCTAGGCAACGGATATATCCATCCTGGTGGATATTGAGGATATTGTTGCCCCATTTCATACGGAAAGTATTGGTTGCCCGTGCCTGGATTCATGTTGTTGCGAAATGAGAACGTGACCAATTTTGCCGCGAAGTCTATAGCATAGAGACTCTGCTACATATCACCTGTCAAATCATTTCCGAATTAAAACACCCTCGCTATTGTTTTCCAAAATTTGTCTCAATTTGGCCTGCTCCAGAGGTAGTCGACGGCATCTTTGAAGTTTGTCCGCCCGCGACCAAATTTTGTCCTTTGGTGAACAAACAGGTCGCACTTGGTTTTTCATTGTGATGACAGATTTTTGACATAAATAAACAGTTTTGTCCTCTAGTGCGACTTGGCCCTATGTAGGTAAGCCTTAGATGTGTGAATGACTGTCATCACGTGGACCACTTGTGGTGGGAGCCAACAAAGGGCAAAGGCACAGGTAACAATAATGAGCATCCGAACCACTCTTCTCTTGGAGGTTTCGAGTTGCGCTCGCTTTCCTTTCAAAGTATTCACTCCAGGTGCAACATGGAACCATAAATGCCATGCAGTAATGGTATACAGGAAAGAAATAATGGCCAAGGGGATGAGATAGTTGACGACGAAAAGGAGGAGGTATATTCCTCGAAGAGCCCTATCTGGATCACCCAAGATGTAAACAGATAACATGCAATAGGAAGATTTATTGTAGTCCTCCACAGTTTCAATAACAAGGAAAATGGACATGGAGACCAGTGAGCCGATCCAAATAAATGGAACGGTTAGTTTAGGCTTTCAAAACCAAAGATGGCGGCGGAGGGGATGAACGATGGCATAGTACCTGTCGATCGCCATGAACGTCAGGCAGAGGATCGATGCTGTTAAAGTGACATAGGCAGTGTATACAACACCTTTGCACATGACTTTTCCAAATACTCCCGGGATCATCCACAAACCGTCTGTATATATTGTGGAAATCGACCAGGGCATCACTACCAAGGTTACAAGCAAATCAGCGATAGCCAGGTTGACAAACATAAAGCTTGTCAGTGATCTCACTTCGGGCTTCTTCCACACGATGTAGACGAGGAAACTATTCCCTGCAAACGCTACGAGCATCGTGATGGCGTAGAGGCCTGTGATAACAATCCACTCGGTATCTGGTTTCATCTTTAGTTCCCTGTTTTTTCTGTTGCTAAAGTTTAATAGGATAAGACTGTTATTACTGAATGAAAAGTCAGTAAAGGGAACACCCTTGGCCCCCTAAAATCTTATTCAATACCAACCTGGGGTGTGGTGAGAGGAATCGATTGTCAACTCAAAGGAAGCAAAACATTTTAAAAGTAAAAATTTTTTTCAAAACTAAGTTCACTTTGGTTGAGTCGATGATATTTCAGGACGTCACTGAAGCTGTGAACAGGAACGGAAATACTGGAAATAGGAAAAGGAATGCAGCAGGACATTTTGATTTTCTCCATAAATAACCCTAGTGAAAAAATCTTAGGGTGCGTTCCTTAGGGTTAGAATCCGGATCAGGATTTCTGATCTGCGGCGTTCCTTTTGAGCAAATCCATTTTTAGATCAGTGATCTATCAAATCCACTCTGGACAAGGATTCATCGGTTCACTGATCTGCGCGATCTAAATACGGATTATTGGATCACTGATCCAACGCATTCCTTTGGGCGAGGGATCTGACATCAATCACTTTCAAACAAGTAGGTACTTCATATATTGACCGGAAAGATTATTAGCAATCGCTCCACAAATTCTGCGATAAAAACGAACTAAAATCGATTTTGTGATGTTAAATCGATCGGCCATTGATCGCAGGCATTCCGGGTTCCCAAGTATCCATATCGTAATCAATATTTGCTTCTGTTTTAATTCCATCGTTTGAGTTTACCGTGAAAAAATGTGTTTCTAATGAATAGTGCTTGCTAAAAGCCCATGCAGTAAGACGAGCCATTCAGGGAAGAGCTCAATAACCCATGTGCATACATAAGTCTTAAAATAGCGCACTTTTTGGAATTCTATGAGAGCTTGTCTAAAACCCCGTTCCTTGCATGCACCGTGATCTTAGATTACAAATCCAATAAACAATAAGATTAACTCGAAAAAGAGACTTAGTACTTTCTCGCGAGTCTTAAGGCAGGTTCTCCGTATTTTAAAACTTATTTTAGTAGGAAATTAGCCACGTGGTCTCACGAACAAGATGACAAAACAAAGAGAAAGTTACCTTCGGTGGAATGAACAATTTTAAAGAAAGAAAATGTAGGAAAGTGAAGACAATCTAGGGAAATAGCGAAATTACGTTCTAAGTATGTCATTTTACTTCTTTGTGAATTTGTCGGTTTGTTCTTGATCATGAGCAGCTGTGAATCAATGACAGACCTTCAGTGGGCTCTATTAGTTCGACAAAAAATAATGCACTGTGCAAATAACATGCAATTAAGTTTGATAAAAAAATGATAATTTAACTTTAAGTCAATGGCGTCCTGCAACGCAAGGTTTGTTATTTAGAACTTTACGATGGTTGATCGTAACAATGCACAGAAAGTGGAGACAAATTCCTCCAAAATTTGTTTCCTTACACTGTGTTTTCATAGCCTGCATAATCATGGGAAAGCACACGTTACATTTCGGATCACTTTAATGTCAAAATTTCGTTATGGAACCGTCGCCTTCAAATCAATTTTATTTTTACCTCATAGCCCTCCTATAGAAGTTGAATTGCATGCAAATGATCCCACGTAATTTTGACAGGTCCATGATAATGAAATAATGAGACGGTTGCAGCTTCACATTTTCTAACCATTTAAGTCGAGGAATACAGCCTCTTTTTTTTAGTTTTTGTTGAGACCATGTCGCACTGATATCAAAAGAAGCAGCCAGAACAAAAGTTTTTTTCATGGCGCTATACAATAAGTATAGAAATGCTTTTTTAAAAAATAATCCTCAAAACCAGCATCTGCGAAATAATTTGACGCTGAACAGCTAGGACAACCCAATTTTTTATCTCCAACTTTTTTGAAGACAAAAACGTACGGAAGGTTTTTTGCTTTTTCTTCAGGTGGAAAAGAGAAAACTTGGCAAGAATGAAAGCTAATTCAGTAAAAAAAAAATTCGCATGAACCTTCTTTCGTTCAGATGCAAATTGACATAGGATCTTTAGCATAATAATCTATCTTACAAGAGACACTAAATTTTAACAAGATATTACTCCAGTTTGGGCCTTCGCCGCTAGTACTTGTATGGTTGAGTAAGTGTTGGAATAAACTTGGAACATAAGCACAAGTTCCGCTTAACAAAGGCGAAATATTGCAAGTCTCCGTAGTTAGAGCGGCCCGTGAATCGTTTTATTGAATGTAGGATTTGTATGATTGAGGAATCATTGGGGTACCAAGAAGTAGACCTCTTCACAAGAAAATCCGGCCGAGAAACTGAACCATATTTCAACTATCGTCAGCGACATTTTCATTTCCACAAAAAAGATAAACTCATGGTATGATCAAATTACATCAGACGAATGAAGCTTATATCACCTAAAATGGGTTTAAAATAAAAATGTGGCCGTGCAGTGTTGAAATGACACAGATTTATCAACACAGGTAACCAAAAGACTCTCACGAAAACAGGCAAAACCACGCAAACCATGCACAGGGCAGCGATCTCTAGCCATTTGGTCGTTAGCTGAGACGACAGACATTTTCATTTAAGATACTTAAAAAGAAATTCATTGGAAATAATAGATAGTGACCTACCTAGAGTCTCTTGACAATAGACAAACAACAGCAGTCCACCGTCGATGGTGTAGCAAAGATCATTCGTAATTCTGTCGCGACTTATGACTCATCCGAGAAAGAATTTTGATTTTACGATTAGATCTCAGACTCTTCACGGGCATCTGTAATTTATATGTGATGGATCTGATAGAAAACAAGACAACGCGTGAGAAGACATTTTAAGCTCGAGTGGAGTGACGACTGTAAAAAGTCCGCCTCTCTGCGCAAGCGCTAGACAGTAATTGGTAAAAGAGACGGATCCTAGTGAATTGAAGTCCAGACTTTGTACTAGCTTTGACCAAACACAAACAACCACGTCCACTCTGACTCGATTTGTTATTACACTCTATAATAAATTTCCTTTGTAAGCAAAGCTTGAATTTTTGACAATAGCAAGTTAGCTGAGTGGCGTCTGCGGTGAAGAAAAGAGATATAAGCGACCCTCGCAGCTATGGACACAACTGAACCGGTAGTTGAGAAATGAGACCTGAAAAAATTTAAGGCCCGTAAGGATTTGAACTCCTGACCCCTGCGATACAGGTGCAGCGCTCTACCAACTGAGCTAACAAGCCAACTGGGAGCTGGTCATTTCTTCATCGAAGTGCACATATAAGGTTTTTCATATATTTCCAGTCATTCTCCACCCCTTGGAAGGTTTATTTGGATCCAACATTATGACCAGCTATTATGACCGTAGTGATTACTAGAAACAACTGAAATTTGAAATTTTTGCCTCCTTTTCTTTCATAAATTCGACCAGTTTCGTAAAGCCAAGGAGGCGATCTTTTCCTAGAGGGCATAGGTGCAAAGGGAAACAAAAATACGAGAAAGACTTCTATGTCTGACTGCTTCTGTTAAGTTATACACCTGATAAACACTCGCTATAGTCTGCCATAACTTTGTTGTTGGCACTGACCATAAACAAATTTATTTCCTCTTTTCCCAAGATATACAAATTATAACGTCTGATAACATCTGCATTGGATGCATAAATCAAGTCTCTGAAAAGTCATTTTTGTTATCAAACAGCAAGTGATGGGAAATGACGAAAAGTAATATCTTGAGAAAGAAATATTTCTAGATGAAAACATCTTCGGCCTTAAACAATCTCCCGATTCAGGACACTTTCGACGCGCTGACGAGGCAGCATTGACGGGATGGTTGTAATTATCACACATTTACAATCCTAAGTAAATAGGTGAAAATTACCAATATCAAATGTGTCTTCCACTCATGATGTTTTCACAAACCTGTATTTAATTTCTCTTGCACTTTTTAAATGCTTCTTACTTCAAAAAGAGAGGCCGTCCAGTGAATCCACGATGCGTGAAGATTCAAGCATGGTGATCGCTGTGTAAAATTCGACCAAAACACCTTGATAAAGTCTTTCTGTCAAATATTTACAGTTTCAATTTCGAATTACGTCAATCCAAATTGTTTTATTTTTAATTTTTTTTCCTATTTTCTTAAGATTGCGCTGTAGCTTTCCGTACCCTCGTTTTGTTATACAAATTACTGAAAATATGTCTACTATTTTCTATGCAGCTATTTTTGCGTGCAGAATGCCTACGCCATCACTATGGATGTTTTTAAAAGACTTATCAGCTTTCAAAATAACTGAAAAATGTTCAATTTGTTATCATTTTTTTTTTAATTTCGTATGTATTGCTTGGTAACACGGTCTTCGCTAAGACTCTTTAGTGATCAGAATTTTGGAAAATATGTTTACATGGTTAATTTATGGTTGGAGCGGATCACAGTGGGTGTCCTATGTAGCTTTTCCGATCTGCCTTTTCGAATCCAACTGACGAAACTCCCATATATTGTCTCCTCATTCATATATAATATTTACAGTCTTGGATCTTAAATTCCCAATTCCTTGCCAAATAAATCCCAAATGCAGAGCCATTTTTCGAAAATTTCGTTATTTTCACTGACCCGAAAACATTCCCCGAAAATCTCCATTTTAGATGGATAACGCTTTCCTGGTGTAAACAAGAAATTAGAAAACCCAAACTAAATGAAGAGAAGGATAACTGCACCGCAGCTTAACAGGACGGAATCTCTGAAGCCAGGTAAAAAAAATGCTCACGTCATCTTATTTACACACAGGCGTGCGAAAATGAAGAAATGTAAAATTGTTTCTGTGTTTACATAGCCTGATGTAAACACGCGGGAGGTTGGGAGAACACGTCATAAGCAGCTTATCGAGTGTTTTCCCAACCTCCCAAGTGTTTACATCGAGCTATGTAAGCACGGAAATGTAGTACATTTCTTTTATAAAATAACTAATGAAAGAGGAACGAAAACCGTGTTTACATACGCTCATGTAAAATGGTTTTCTGGCCAATCAGAGCGCGCGTACTATCTGAATTATTTTATAATAAAGATCTTGTTCATAGTAGCTCAATAGGACTTATATAGGGCTAGGACGCACGCTATGTTATAATAAAGAATTGGTCCATGCTTAGCGTGCGTAAATCGAGGTATGGATGTACGCGGGAAATTTGAGGAGCACGAGATACCTCTTACTAACCGAGTTCGAGGGCCGCTCTGCATGTTACGGACTGAGTTTTTTTCGCTCGGATTTGCGGCCCAAGCACAAAGGGCGCAGGGGCCATTAATCGAGTAGAAAAAAATCAGGTTAGTACTTAAAGTTAGTACTTATGTTATAAACCAACAAAATTTTTTGAGGTCTCTGCATCTTGCATTGAAAAGAGACGTGAGATGGACGAAATCTGTACAGAGTGGTTAACGACTCTGCCACGTATTCCCGAATTTTTGGCGGCCTTGGAAATAATTTTCCAAATGGCTCTTTCCTAAAGGACTCTTCATGTACCAAACATCATCACCTGGTTTTTGCTAGTGTTTACTGCAACGAAAAACAGTTTATTTCGAGAACAGTGACAATACTCCAACTCAGTTTGGGCGGTTTATGTTACTGATAAACCACCACAATGTATGCAAAAACGTGTGTTTCACGCCACTCAACCAAACATTACTAAAGGGAGAAATTGATCCATCGAGACGTGCCGTATCTGTGTAACATAAATATAACTACGCAAATTATGTATCGGAGATGATCCGGCATTAGAGCGAAATGACCCACTTTTCGCTATAAAACTTTATCGTGAAGGATCATGCAGCGGATTCTGAATTGAATGACCTAATAATTGTGTTCTTTACTTTATCAATACGGTACTTTATTATGCATTTCCACAACGTTCGCAGTCTTTCAGGATTTGTAGACAATCTATTTCCTTTTGAATAGGCCATTTTACGGTTGTGTACTTAGTTGTAAAGCCTTTGATTTGGAGTGAGGCTGAAGGTGACCTTGTTAACACTCCACCATTGTTTGATCAATATGTACACACTTTTTTTTTTAACTGAATCTCTATCACAATATCTTTGCGTTTCCTGTTATACTAAAAATAAAATCAAAAACACAAAGTCAAAAGAGCAGAATGGGTAAGAAAGGCTAGGAAATCAACTGAAACAATTTTTTGTTTGAGATTCCTCGTTACTTCAGTGTTTCCCTTAACCCTTTCACTATCAAGATCTCATTAGTAATTCTCCTTACTGTCTACTATACAACTCTTATGATGTTAGCTCTGAGAATTTGGTATTGGATCAACTAATAATCCCCTAGCTGATATATTTGTTTTTTCTTATCACTTGCCTGTTTGCTATTGTATTGATTTGGTAAGGAGAAATTCTGTCTTGGTAAGAAAAATATTAGAACCATGTATCATTGCATGCAGAGACTTTCTATACATTTCTCGCGATGAATAATAAAATGTAGTATCGTAAATAATGCAAAAATATGCTTACGTCTCTTCTTTTTGCTTCAAAATTTTCTTCATTTTTATTTCGACTTTTGCAACAGTCTCGTGGTTGGGTGTCTGAGTAACTTCGTTAGTTGTCCATTATATAACCTTCTATAAGGTTCAATGCCAGGGAGAACTAGCTTTTGAGAAAACCCACACTAACAGGAGGCACCAAGGCTCCTGGTTGTCTTCTTCTTTATAACATTTTCTACAGCTAACCAAATTGTCCCTCTCTTTTATTCACTGTAGTGCACGCTCTAAAGTACCTTATTAGTGAACATGTCGGTAATGCGCTGACTGTCTCTACAGAGTTTAACCCCTTGTTCAAAATTCTGACAATTTAATCTGCAAGAACGGCTTTCAGAACATAGCGATCAGGAACTACGAAGGCAGTGACGTTCTGTGTATCGCAGAGAAATTAACTAAACCGGTACCTTTGGCTAATGTGTTTGGGGCTCTAAAATGCCCAACTAAATGAGACATAAAACCTATATTTAACTCTCCAAGATTACACTTAATTAGACCTGAAAGCCTTGATGACTATTTCAGCAAGAAACAATAACAAGGTGATACTAGAAAAACCAAATGTGCCTTCGTTTCAGAGGTACATCAGTCAGGGTTTGCGGACACATTTACAGGTTATATTGTTGCTGCCATCCTCGGAGAAGTAATATTCCGAATCACCCTTTCCTGCTATAACAATAAACTGCCTGACTGGAGGATTAAAAATGAAAGCGGCATTTTCAAAATCAGCTCCATCTTCATTTGCCAGAGATATGCAATTAATGGCCTCTTCTACGAATTTGATATTTGTTTCGTCGTGTTCACTGAGACGTTCCTTGTTTTGTATTTTTTTTCGACCTCTTCTCCAAGGCCAATCACGGTTATTTCCTTCACGAGAATTCTTATTTTTTCTGGATAATCCATAAATGATATCGATCTTATCAATATTGGGAGAAAATTAAGATGGCTAGAGGAAAAAAAACGGTAACAAAGGCAACCCACATGTACCAGAATCGCCGGGGAGTCGAATCCAGGCCAGAAATACATAAGATGAGGCGTGCTCCTACTCCACCTACTAAGGGTCACAGAGTCTCTCCCATCTCCTCCCCCCTCGAAAGTTTCCGATGAATATTCAAGCAAATACTGATTGCCGATCTTATCAGTATGCTGGACTGGCTTGTAACGCAGCTCCGTAGTTTAAAGCACCATGGGAAGGTCTGATGTTCAAATTCTTAACGAAGTCACAGATTATCTTTTTCAGGTTCCTAGCTGCATGTTCGTTTTTAAATAAAGTGCATATTTTCTTATGGTATTTTGTCGAGGGATTACCGAGCTCCCCTTGAAAATCTCATTTTATCCTATTGTCCCCATTTTGTCCCTATGACACTTGAAACCTAAAAAACAAAATTAACGCCCCATTACACAGAGCTCTTATTTGGATGTCAGCTGAAACTATCATTGTGTGCTTCAGAATTAAAGAAAACTATCATTGTGTGCTACAGAATTAAAGAAAACTGTGAGGAACGATTGGTTAGTATACGATGAGAAAATTATGAATAAACAAAACAAATTAGTATATAGCGGACAGGTGAATTGTGCTTTTCGTGCGCGCTAATTAGCTACTTCGCTAATTAGCTAGATCGCCGGCAATGACTGTGAAATACCTCGTTTGACAACGCCTATCTTCTCATTATTATTAAAATTAAAACATTTGCTGGATAGTTCTGAAAATTGAACTCTATTTCTCTATATTCTTCTCAGATGTCCAAGCCCCTGAATATTAGCTTCATTTTCTCTTTTCCTTTTCAGTTGTTGTTGTTGTTGTTGTTTTGTTTTTTTTTTAATTATATTATTTCAGAACAAATTCAGACATAAAAAAAAGAACAAATATTACAACCTTAAGGTAGATCGTGTGGCCAAGTGGTTAGCGCGCTCCATTCTAAACGGAATAAGACGATTCTTGGTCCATAAGTATTTCTTTTGCTTTAATTGTGTATGTCATAACCGGAGGCTCTTACAAATCTCCTATCAGAACAGCTAATTATAATCTGAAATAGTGAAAATTAAATTATTATCGCGAAAACGGTATGCAAATACACTTAATTAACGCTACCCGGAGCACTGAATAAACATGTCAGTGTTTCCTTTTTGACCAATACCCTATAGGTCTCTCATGCTCATTTCAATCAAATTGGAAAACAGATGTTGTAAATAATCAAATTCTTTAAAAATACCAACCAGCAGGGGCACACCAGTTGGCTGTATACAAAGCGAGTCAAGGAATCGACCCTACGGAAAAACGAGAACAAATCCAGCAAGTATTAGAGTAGAGGGCTTGCACCCGTGACCACCAGATCACTAGTTCAGCACCCTCACCACGCTGCCTAGAACATCGCAGAATCAATGCCAGTATGCTTCTTCCTATAGTTCACTATGCCACGGATCCCCTTTTTTATTCTTACCAGCCGATAGAACGGTTCTTGTCGAAATTAGTTGCAATTATTAATATCTCATCAAATTACTCGGATTACTACAGTAACTTTTCTGAAACCGTATACAGGTGTTTGTATTATATTATATAATTAGTAATACGCAAATCCGTTTTGAGCGAGTTCCTATCTTACAATTAACAAATTGGTAATAAAAGTTTCATGTTATGAGAGGGATTATATTGTTGATTCTTTCTGGATTGCTTCATCTTCAGGTGGTAAGACGACATCTGATGTTTTGATGGTGAGACTTGAAGACAACCGGCTGCTTTTTCTACTGACGATCCTAGTAAATGCTGTGTTTATCTTGGTGCTCAGAAAAATGTACAGCCATGGGTTAACGGCACTGTTGGCGTGTCCAAACCAGAAACACACAAAGCTGACAATCGGCTGTAGCTGAAACTTTGATGCGCGAATGACGATCATCATGTGGACCACTTGTGGTGGGAGCCAACAAAGGGCAAAGGCACAGGTAACAATAATGAGCATCCGAACCACTCTCCTCTTAGAGGTTTCGAGTTGCGCTCGATTTCCTCTCAAAGTATTTACTCCAGGTGCAACATGGAACCATAAATTCCATGCAGTGATGGTATACAGGCAAGAAATAACGACTAAGGGGATGAAATAGTTGACGACGAAAAGGAGGAGGTAAATTCCTCGAAGAGCCCTATCTGGATCACCCAAGATGTAAACAGATAGCGTGCAAAAGGAAGAATTATTGTAGTCCTCCACGGTTTGAATAACAAGGAAAATGGACATGGAGACCAGTGACGCGATCCAAATAAATGGAACGGTTAGTTTAGGCTTTCGAAACCAAAGATGGCGGCGGAGGGGATGAACGATGGCATAGTACCTGTCGATCGCCATGAACGTCAGGCAGAGGACGGATGCTGTTATAGTGACATAGGCAGTGTATACAACACCTTTGCACATGACTTTTCCAAATACTCCCGGGATCATCCACAAACCGTGTGTATATATTGTGGAAATCGACCAGGGCATCACAATCAGGGTTACAAGCAAATCAGCGATGGCCATGTTGACGAACATAAAGCTTGTCAGTGATCTGACTTCAGGTTTCTTCCACACGATGTAGATGAGGAAGCCATTCCCTGCAAACGCTACGAGCATCGTGATGGCGTAGAGGACTGTCAAAACAATCCACTCGGTATCTGGTTTCATCTTTAGTTCCTGTTTTTTTCTGTTGCTAAAGTTTAATAGGATAAGAGTGTTATTACCGAATAAAAAATCAGTAAAGGGAACACTCGTGGCCCCCCTAAAATCTTATTCGATACCAACCTGGGATGTGGTGAGAGGAATCGATTGTGAATTCAAAGGAAACAAAAACATTTAAATTTTTTTTTTTTTTTTAACAAAGTTCACTTTGGTTGAGTCGATGATATTTCGGGACGCAACTGAGGCTGTGAACAGGAACGGAAATACTGGAAACAGGAAAAGGAATGCAGCAGGACATTTTGATTTTCTCCATAAATAACCCCAGTGAAAAAATCTTAGGGTGCGTTCCTTTGGGAGAATCCGGATCAGGATTTCTGATCTGTGGCGTTCCTTTCGAGCAAATCCATTTTCAGATCAGTGATCTATCAAATCCACTCTGGACAAGGATTCGTCGGTTCACTGATCTGCGTGAACTAAAGACGGATCATTGGATCACTGATCCAACGCGTTCCTTTAGGCGAAGGATCCGAAATTAATTATTTTGCCCAGCGGTGCTCGATTTCAAACTAGTAGGTACCTCACATATTGACCGGAAAGATTGTTGGCAATCCCCCACAAATTCTGCGATAAACACGAAATAAAATCGATTTTGTAATGTTAAATCGATCGGCCACTGATCGCAGGCATTCAGGGTTCTCCAGTATCCATATCGCAGTCAATATTTGCTTCTATTTTAATTCCATCGTTTGAGTTTACCATGAAAAAATGTGCTTCTAATAAATAGTACGTGCTAAAAGCCCATGCAGTAAGACGAGCCATTAAGGGAAGAGCTCAATAACCCACGTACATACACAAGTCTTAAATAGCGTACTTTTTTGGAATTCTCTGAGAGCTCGTCTAAAACTCCGTTCCTTTCATGCGCCGTGATCTGCGTGATCTTAGTAATGAAGTCATGGTTAAGCATTTCTGCATAGATGTATTAAGTATTCTCATCCTTAAAATATATAAATACTGGTCTTCGTTGTTGGTTTGCCTTTATGACGAAAGCGTTTCTAATTTGTCATCTTCTTATTTGTCGTTTTCCTTCCCGATGAATAAAGATAACTTTCAGAGACAGTTTTTTTTTTTACTATTTTCAATTTTCTGCACGGTTCCTTCATTTGTTCGCATAATAACAATAACGAAAATTATCAGAAAAATTATCAGAAGGAAACGATAACAATGTATGATATCTTATTGAAGACACCGTTGGCGCATGTATATAACTATTTTTGATGGCCTGTAACGTTGTTGGAATTAGTTTGGAAACAGGAAATCAATCTGCCTATATATTCGCCTTACAAAGTCAACTTGTTTCCCTCCAAATTGTTGTGAGTTAAGAAGCGTTGAACGTCTCATGGCAGTTGAACGTACCTGCGATAGAATGCACTGAAGTCCGCTGTCAGCAAACAGACTTGTAGCCTCTTCGTACTAAAGGAAGATTAAAAAAAGGAAAAGATAATATTTCAACCACACTGATCCAAGCGTTTTTATAAAATACGAAACACGGTAAACCTTTGGAGATCGATAAGGTTGCTTCTCCTGTCCAACGTTTTGAGAATTCAATGGCCCGAGACTAATGAACCCTGCTGAACTAAAGAGCTTATTCCTGATCCCTTCCTTTTTTTAACCATTTCAAAATGATTTGCTATGAATATTAATGCGGTTCTCGGTCGCATCTCTTCTGGACAGCTGGACAGAAATATCAGACATAAATGTTTGAGTGTGGGAGTCCTCAAATTGATCTCAAATCCAACATTCCTCATATCAATTGTCAAAGCACGTACAACGCGGGCTTAAGTCTTCCGCTTTGAAAGTCATGTCATTTACAGTTAGTTCCTATAAATAATCCCACTTTTTCTTTAGATCACTTCGTTTATTTTAATTCATAAACTTGAGTATAAAAAAAAAAACAAACAAACAAAAAGGAAACCCTCTTTACGTGTGGAAATTCAAAATTAACTCAAAAGGGAGATTTTGAACTTTCTCGCGAGTCTTAAGGCAGGTGCTCCGTATTTTAAAACTCATATTAGTGAATAATTAGCCGAGTGGTCTCACGAGATGACGAACCAGAGAGAAAGTTGCCTTCGGTGGAATAAACAATTTTAATTTAGGAAAATATAGGAAAGTGAAGGAAATCTGGGGAAATTGCGAAATTATGTTCTATGTATGTCATTTTACTTCCTTGTGAATTTGTCAGTTTGTTCTTGATCATGAACAGCTGTGAATCAATCACAGACCTTCATTGGGCTCTCTTAGTTCGACAAAAAACAATGCACCGTGAAAATAACACGCAATTTAGTTTCATAAGAAAATGATGATTTAGCTTTAAGTCAATGGCGTCTCGCAACGCAAGACTTGTTATTTAGAATTCTACGATGGTTGATCGTAACAATGCACAGAAAGTGGAGACAAATTCCTTATTCATGTGTTTTCTTACACTGTGTTTTCATAGCCTGCATAATCATGGGAAAGCACAGATCACATTCGGATCATTTTAAAGTCAAAATTCCGTGATGGCCTTCTGGTGAATTTTATTTTTACCTCATAGCCCCGCTATCGAAGTTAAATTGCATGTAAATGATCCCATGTATTTTTGACAGATCCGTGGTAATGAAATAATGAGACGGTTCTGCAATGCGCGCTGTCATGCTGAAGTGACAGATGAATTAACTTTAATTTTAGAAGAATATATGCTCGAAGCGAAGCAACCGCAGGAGTAAAGTCCGCGCCAGAACCAAAACTTTAAATTCATATAAAATTTTCTTTGCATGATATTTATTTTTATCAATTGAAATCCGACATCGACTTGCCGATTTTGTCTTTCGATAAAACGCGGTAGTTAAACGCCCCTCAAGATAGTGCCCGAAAAAATACTTGTTTAATAGAGCAAAAACGAAAAGCTCTCTTTCATGAATTAGCTGATATAGTTTTCTATGGTTATTTCTTCAATTTGACTTCATGAATCTGTAGTCAACTTTGGCCTTTATGTTTAAAGATGCAGTTTCTTCATTTCCTCACGAGTCTCTATCAGCCTAACTGTTAATAAAACAGTTCAATTTATGTTTGATGGACGGTGGATTGACAGGGGATAGGAATAAAGCTTTGACGCGGCGCTTTGCAGCTTTACATTTTCTAAACATTTAAGTTTAGGAATACAGCCTTTTTTTTCAGTTTTTCATCTCGCATTGATATCAAAAGAAGCAGCCAGAATAAATTTTTTTGCGTGGCGCTATATAATAAATATAGGAAGTGCTTTTTGAAAAATTATCTCAAAACCAGCATCTGCGAAATAAATTAACGCTGAATAGCTAGGACCACCCAATTATTTATCTTCAGCTTTTTTGACAAAAACGTACGGAAAGTTTCTTTCCTTTTCGTTCAGGCGCAAGAGAGAAAACTTGGCGAGAACAAAAGCTAATTCAATAAAAAAAAATTCTGCATGAACACTCTTTCGTTCATATGCAAATTGACATAGGCATATTGCGCCAGTTTGGCCCTTCGCCGCTAATACTCGTATGGTTGAGTAAGTGTTGGAATAAACTTGGAACATAAGCACAAGGTCGGCTTTTAAGTCTTCGTAGTTAGATCGGCATGTGAATCGTTTTCTTGAATGTAGCATTTGTATCATTGAGGAATCATTGCAGTATCAGGAAGTAGACCTCATAACAAGAAAATCCGGCTGAGAAACTAAACCATATTTCAACTATCGTCAGCGACATTTTCATTTCCACATAAGAGAAGCTCATGGTATGAAAATCATCAAGAGACTTACCTACGGCATATAAGGCTCCTGCTTGCATCAAATTACATTAAACGAATGAGGCTTACATCACTTACCATCCACAACTGAATCAGGTCCAGTGTATTTTTGCGTAGAGCCCTGTGGCTGCCTTGTTCATTCAGTTTAAAATGCTAGCCAAAATGAGCACAGAGGGGAGAGGTTTGAGTTTTAAAAGTACTGTGTGATAGTCACTGGAGCTCGATAAATGAAATGACGCTTATTTCATGTGACATTATGCCTGAGCAAACAAGTTGAACCGTGCGATGAAAAGCGTAAAGCGACGATGCCCACGTGGATGATAATAAAACTGACCTGGACACCCCTTCACGATCTGTGTACTTGTGAAGTCGGAGATTCGAGCAGGATACCCCTATTACTGTATAGTTAGTTCATTGGCAAGCTAGCGGAAGTTGTTGCATAGGGGCTGCTCTGAGTCGCGGATTTTGTTCTTACTGTGCTATGGGAAACGAAACTGGAGGAGCTTCTAGCCATGGTAGAGGCACAAGAAATAGTTTTAAAAAAGCACAAAGTTGTGGCCGTGCAGTGTTGAAATGACACAGGTTTATCAACACAGGTAACAAAACGACTCTCACGAAAACAGACAAAGCCGCGCAAACCATGCACAGGGCTGCGATCTCTAGCCGTTTGGTCGTTAGCTGAGACAACAGACATTTTGCTTTAAGAAACTTAAAAATAAATTCATGGAAAATAATAGATGGTGACTTACCCGCAGACTCTCTTGACTATAGACAACCAACAACAGTCCACCGTCGATCTTAGCAAAGATCATTCGTAATTTAGTCCCGATTTATAACTCATCTGCGATAGCATTTTGATTTTATGATTAATTAAATCTCAGACTCTTCACGGGCATGTGAAATTTATATGTGATGGATCTGATAGGAAACTAGACAACGCGTGAGAAGACATTTTAAGCTCAAGTGAAATTGACAACTGTACAAAGTCCGCCTCTCTGCGCTAGCGAGATGACAGTAATTGGTAAAGAGACGGGCCCTAGTGAATGGAACTCTAGACTTTGTACTAGCCTCGACCAAACACAGACAATCACGTCCACTCTGACTCGATTTGTTATTACACTAGATAACAAATTCCGTTTGTAAGCAAAGTTTGATTTTTTGACAATAGCAAGTTAGCTGAGTGTAGTCTCCCTTCGATCAGTTGACAACTCGAACTGGTTTGACTGGTGCACTCGCTGGTTTGAGAAGTAGAACGTTTAGTTCGATGACGAACACACTGATTCAAAGCTGTCACTCTGCACTATCATCAAACCAAATCATCTACCAACGCCGCTTAAGTAAAATAATAGGAGCATCTGCACAATACAGGGCCAATCTTGATGGAAAATTTGCAGTTGACTCTCGCCCTGCAGACACCTCGCCATTGCGAGGACATGACTGAATTAAACTCCCATTTTTACTACGGACTCAGGCTATTACTGAAATGCGGACACTTTCATGCCACCCAGCGAAACATGGCACTTGTCTTTTCTCTCTCTATAGCGGACACTTAAGTACTTCGTCCAAAATCCTGACTTACATAATGCAAAGCGACATTACGATAAAAGAAAATACAGAAACCATTCTTCAATTGGCTGCGAACATGAGAATTTCCTGCTTGCGGCCGAATCTTTATCCGTTTCGTGAGGCCACGTTAGAAACTTTATACTTGCGTACTTACATATTATTTCATAGGTTTAGAGACCAAATAACTTATTTTCTCTAGTACCCCGCTATTACGAACTCTCGCTATTACGGACACAAAATCTCCCCGAGGTTGTCCGCAATAAAGGGAGTCGAGTGTATCTATCTAAGAACGAGGATTAATGGATGTGCATGTTAAGTCTTAGGTCTAAATATGTGGTGGCTCGGTTGGCTTGGATGAAAGAACGAGGAATACTCATTTAATGTGCAGTCTTAGGTCTATATAACAACTTATAGTAACGAATTTATGTCTGGAAATTGCAGGTACGGTTGAACCGTACGAAGGAAAAGGGCTTGTATTATCAAGCGACGATCAAAGTGCTTGTATCAAACGACGATGCCTACGTGATCAATTTTTAACTAAGCGAAATTAGGAGGGTTAAAAGACCTTAAAAGGATTACAACTCTAATATACATTGGTTTGGAAAAACAAACATTGCATTTATGTCCGTAACGACGACTCTTCTGGTTTTTCAGAACAAAAGAAAAGCATAGAGACGGAATTTATTCAGAGATGTCATCCCACTTTTTTCACACTTTACATCTCCATGTTATCCATCTTTTTGTGTCATGCATCATTAATAGATGCATTTGATCCAAAATTCCCAATATTTAATGTTAATCTGTAGATTAAGAAATTTGAAGTTTCCAAGAAGTCTCGAAAATACTTGAATTTTTCAGAGGCCAAATCACTTCTCTACTGGATCCGAACAAAAAACGAACCCACAGCTAGCTGCCCATTGACAAAATGACATTTTATGTTTTGAAGGTCATGGAGGCTTGGTGAGTAGAGAAACTGTGATCAGACACAATGCACGTGTCTTACTTTTCATGCTAAAAAAATAAAAACAGATAAAAGATAATTTTATTATCACGACTTTCAGATGCGTTAAGCCGATAACAATTAATAAAACCATCAAAATTAACAGGTTTCAAATTGTAATTTTATATGGAAAGTTTGTACGTGATGTAACTAACTCTAGAGATTCCGCAAGCCAACCTCTTAAAGTGTGACCGAACACCCGACCGATTTCGGATACTTACAAAATTATTCGCTGCTCTGAAAGCTTGATTGGTAATAACTATGAACTTCAGATAGAAAAATAACGAGACAAGTCAGAAAAGTCGGGGTATTTTCTTTCATTATCATCAACTGACTCGGAATTTTTAACGAAATATTTCAATTTCATTCATTTATCACACTCTTTTTAATTTAAAGAAACTTCACCTAATTCCTCCATCATCTAGCATTTCCGTAATAATTACGAGAAACAACTGAAATTTGAAACTTTTTGCTAAAACGTTTACCTCCTTTTCTTCAATAAATTCGAGCAGTTTCGTAAAGCCAGTTTGGCGATCTTTACCCAGAGGGCATAGGTACAAAAGAAAACAAAAATACGAGAAAAACTTATGTCTGACTGCTTTTTCTGTTAAGTTATACACCTGAGAAACACTCGCTATACTCCGCCATAGCTTTGTATAACAAGATAAATCACACTCATTTGGATTAGTTTTTACTAATGTTCAATTGAAGGACAGACTCCTCGTCGGCATCCCGATAATCAATTATTAAGCAAATAAATATTGCCGTGGGTCTCTTCAGTAGTAACTCACAGTTTCCCACTAGGCTATGCTTCGTGTGGCACGTTTTTGTTCTTACAACTTTCGTCTCATCCACGAACATGTGGAAAACTTGAAATTACGAATTGCTGTTGTTGGCACCGACCATATACAAATTTATTTCCTCTCGTCCCAAGATATGCAAATTATAACGTCTGATAACATCTGCATCGGACGCATAAATCAGTCAAAAACGTTTCTGGAAAAAGATTGAAGCCATTTTTCACGAAGGCGGGGCCTAGGAAATATTATATTATTATAACCAGGCGAGGACTCGTACCTTAGTTCTTCAGGTTTTTTCCGTTTTTTTTTTTTTTTTTTTTTTTTTTTTTTTTTCAGTGTAATCAAAAGAGTAAAAAGTCGACTGCATGCAGTACGGAACCAATCCTATTGTCCTCTTCTCTTAAAACCTGGTTTGTCATCTAACGGCAAGTGATGGAAAATGACGAAAAGTAATACCTTGAGAAAGGAAAGTAAATATTTCTAAATTAAAACATCTTCTGCCTTAAACAATCTCCCGATTCGAGACACTTTCGACGCGCTGATGAGGCAACATTGACAGGATAGTTCTAAATATCACACACATACGATCCTAAATAAATAGCTGAAAATTACCAATATCAAATGTGTCTTCCACTCATAATGTTTTTAAAAACCTGTTTTTAGTTTCTCTTGCACTTTTTAAATGTTGCTAACTTCAAAAAGAGAGGCCGTACAGTGAATCCACGATGCGTAAAGATTCAAGCATGGTGATCGCTGCGTAAAATTCAACCAAAACACCTTGATCACATCTTTCTTTCAAATTTTTACAGTTTCAATTTCGAATTACGTCAATTCAAATTGTTTCATTTTTAATCTTTTTTCCTATTTTGTTTTGATTGTGTGGTAACATACCGTAATTTTTTTTTTTCATAAAAATTACTGAAAATATGTTTACTTTTTATATGCTACTTTTTTTTGCGTGCAGAATGCCTACGCTATCACTGTGGATATTTTTTAAAGACTTATCGGTTTTCAAGATAACTGAGAAATGTTCAATTTGTTATCATTTATTATTTCGTATGTATTGCGTGAGAACACGGTTTTCGTTAAGACTTTCTTGTGATCAGAATTTTGGAAAATATGTTTGTATGGTTAATTTATTGTTACAGCGGATTACAGTGGGTGTCTTTTCTAGCTTTTCGATCGGTCTTTTCGAATCCAACTGAAGAAACTCCCATATCTTGTCTCCTCCTTCATTTATAATATTTACAGTCCTGGATCTTAAATCCCCAATTTCCTTGCCAAATAAATCCTAAATGTAAAGATTTTGTTATTTTCACTGACCCGAAGACGTATTTCAAATTTTTAATCTAAGATGGCCTTCGATTATTATTTTACAAGTTCCATCATAGTTTAGATTAAAACGTGATTCTGGAGACTTCACTTGATTCAGAGTAGTATTTAAATGGAAGCTGAACATGACAAATGCTGATCACAAAATAGAATGATAAAAGTCTCTTCCTTATGAAAAATTAAAGTAAAAAATTTCCTTAAAAATTTACATTTCAGATGGATAACACTTTGTAAACAAGAAATGAGGAAACCCAAACTAAATGAATATTTTGTTAAGTCGAACGCCAAAACACATATTAACAATGATTGTTGATCATTGGATTATATCTACCGCCTACACTTTGGGTGAACGTGTCTGACATATGAAAACCTCTGCTACCCTAAATGGAGACGACGGCAGTTATAGTTGATGATGACCAAATTTTTATTTTTAGGTAATGGTGCAGTACACTATAGCGCATCAAATCTAGATCTAAACATAACAATAAACTAGAAGAACACGAGTCTTCTGACGTTACATTATTATCTCAAGTGCATCCATAACTCGATATACGCACAGCTAAAAGCATGAGCAAATTTTTTTTATAGAAAACAGAGTGACAACAAGGATCTGCGAGAAGAAGCCTTTTATTGTGATAAAGTGCAATTGTGATTGTTTTGGTTTTAGTAAATTCCCAATTAAAGGACGGAAACTCTGAAGCCAAGTAAAAAAAACCCTCACGTCATCTTATTTACGTACGGGCATGCGTAAATAAAGATTTTGTTCATAGCAGCTCAATAGGACTTATATAGGGCAAGCACGCACGCTATGTTATAATAAAGCGTTTTCAAATGTGACTGATTTCTCGGGGTTTTTTCATTAAAGGTGAATGCAGACGTAGTTGCTTCGCTTATCTCTCGATCTGTGGACGTTTCGACAAATTTGTATGATAAACTTACTATCTTTCTCAGGATACTTACTTAAAGACAGAGTTGACCTCAAGCAAGCACCCACGCTATGTTATAATAAAGCGTTTTATTTATTTATTTATTTTATTTAAACAATATTTAAACAGGGACATCACATTTAGCATAGCTAGTTTAAAGAGAGCCCTGCAAAAACAAAATTTGACAATACAAACTTACTCAAAATTGACAGACAAAAGTAAAACTCATCGGAGAAAATACATGCAAAGTCTATATAACTAATTAAATCTGTTTAAAAAACCGCTTTCACTCAGTTTTAAAAGTTTTAGGGCTTTCCAGCGATCTTATTGCTTTGGGCAGATTATTAAAAGTGCACCCACCATTATATCTAAAACTGCCTTGATATTTAGTGCTTTTGGGCAAAGGAAGACGAATCAAATCCCTGTGCCTGGTATTATATGTATGATATTTCTTAGCTCGAGTAAAATCACTCAATAAGTAGGAAGGTGCTAAGCCGTTCGTAGATTTGAAAACCAGCATGCATTTAAGATAGTCTCTACAAGACTGAAGGTTAGGCCAACCAAGAATACGAATAATATCTGTTTCACTCACAGCCCTATTTAAGATAATACTCGCCACACGCCCATTAAGCTTATCAAGATACCCTTTAGATATAGCCCCACAACTATCCCATACAACTGAGCAATAGTCAAAAAGGGGGAGTATCATTGTGTTGTACAAAATGATAAAGGATGACTGAGGCAAGATCTTTCGTGCTCTACGCAACATTTCTAATCTAGACGAGATCTTCTTTCCAAAGTAATTAATGTGGGACTTCAAAGAAAGTGTTGGGTCCATAAAAACCCCGAGATATTTAAACTTTTCTAATAAGACTCGTACAACGACTATACAATAATCAGCTTAAACTTTTACGAGTGGCATTTAGGAAACTAAAAATAAAGTACTCAACACGACCAGTTTAGAGACAAAATTTCAAGTAATTGCACGACCAGAGGAGAAAGACAAAAATGGAACCTATCGTAAGGGGGTAGGAGTGGCACAATCTTCGAATGCTAACCTTAAAAAACCTTGCATCGTAAGAACACTTCACAACACTCTCTTTTTCCATAGAGGCCTTTTCAAAGGGAGGTCGCATCCAAAATCTCCCTGTATTTACTTATTACTATTCAACAATTTAGTCCACAAGAGCAGCTTTCAGAACATAGCGATCGGGAACTACGAAGGCAATGACGTTCTGTGTATCGCAAAGAAATTAACTAAACCGGTACCTTTGGCTAGAGTGTTTGAGGCTTTCAAATGCACAACTAAATGAGAAATAAAACCTACATTTAGCTATTCAAGATTACACTTCATTAGACCTAAAAGCCTTGATGACTACTTCAGCAAGAAACAATAACAAGGTGATACTAGAAAAACCAAATGTGCCTTTGTTCCAGAGGTACATCAACCAGGGTTTGCGGACACATTTACAGGTTATATTGTTGCTGCCATCCTCAGAAAATTAATATTGCCAATCACCCTTTCCTGCTATAACAATAAACTGCCCGGCTGGAGGTTAAAAATGAAAGCGGCATTTTCAAAATCAGCTCCATCCTCAATTGCGAGAGGTATGCAATTGATGGCCTCTTCTAGGAATTTGATACTTGTTTCGTCGTGTTCACTGAGACGTTCCTTGCTTTGTTTTTTTTTTCCACCTCTTCTCCAAGAGCAATTGCGGTTATTTTCTTCACGGGAATTCTTATTTTTTCTGGATAATCCTAAAATGATATAGATGTTATCAATATTGGGAGAAAAATTAGGATAACTGAAGAAAAAAAAACAGTAACCAAGTCAACCCACAAGTATCGCCAAAATCGCTGAGTCGAACTCAAGCCACAACTACATATGAGAAGGCGAGTGTTCCCACTCCACCTACTAAGGGTCACAGAGTCTCCCCCATCTCTTCGAAAGTTTCCGATGAATATTCAAGCAAATACTGATTTCCGATCTTATCAGTATGCTGGACTGGCTTGTAACGCAGCTCCGTAGTTTAAGGCACCATGGGAAGGTCTGATGTTCAAATTCTTAACGAGGCCTCAGATTATTTTTTCAGGTTCTCAGCTACTTGCTCGTTGTAAAATAAATTGCATATTTCTTATGGTACTCTGTCGAGGTATTGCCGAGTTCCCCTTGAAAATCTCATTTTTTCTTATTGTCCCCATTTTGTGCCTATGACACTTGAAACCTAAAAAAAAAAAATTAACGCCCCATTACACAGAGCTCTCAATTGGATTTCAGCTGAAACTATCATCGTGTGCTACAGAATTAAAGAAAACTGTGAGGAACGATTGGTTAGTATCAATGAGAAAATTATGAATAAACAAACCAAATTAGTAGATAGCGGACAGGTGAATTGCGCTTTTCGCGCGCGTTAATTAGCTAGTTCGCTTATCAGCTAGATCGCCGGTAATGACTGTGAAATACCTCGTTTGACACCGACAACAACAACAAAATTTGCTGGATAGTTCTGAAAATTGAACTCTATTTCTCTATACTCTTCTGAAATGTCCAAGGCCCTGAATATTAGGTTCATTTTCTCTTTTTTTTTTTTTTCAGTTATTTTTTTGTTTGTTTGTTTGTTTTTTTTTTTTTGTTCAAGATTGTATTATTTCAGAACAAATTCAGAGAAAAAAGAAAGAACAAATATTACAACCTCGAGGGAGATCGGGTGGCCAAGTGGTTGGCGCGCTCCATTCTAATCGGAATGAGACGATTCTTGGTCCATAAGCATTTCTTTTGCTTTAATTGTGTATGTCATAACCGAAGGCTTTTACAAATCTCCTTTCAAAACAGGTAATTTTAACCTGAAATGGTTAAAATTAAATTATTATCGCGAAAACGGTATGCATATACACGGAACGGTTCTTGTCGAAATTTAGTTGCAATTGTCAATTTCTCATGAAATTACTCGGATTACTACAATAGCTTTTATGAAACCGTATATAGGTGTTTGTATTATATTAGTAATACGCAAATCCGTTTTAAGCGAGTTCCTATCTTACAGTTACCAAATTAGTAATAAAACTTTCATGTTGTGAGAGACATTATATTCTTGATTCTTTCTGGATTGCTTCATCTTCAGGTGGTAAGACGGCATCTGATGTTTTGATGGTGAGACTTAAAGGCAACCGGCTGCTTTTTCTACTGACGATCCTGGTAAATGCTGTATTTATCTTGGTACTCAGAAAAATGTACAGCCATGGGTTAACGGCGCTGTTAGCGTGTCCAAACCAAAAACACACAAAGCTGACAATCGGCTGTATATATAGGTAAGCCTTAGATGCGTGAATAATTTGCATCATGTGGACCACTTGTGGTGGAAGCCAACAGAGGGCAAAGGCACAGGTAACAATAATGAGCATCCGAACCACTCTCCTCTTGGAGGTTTCGAGTTGCGCTCGATTTCCTCTCAAATTATTTACTCCAGGTGCAACATGGAACCATAAATTCCATGCAGTGATGGTATACAGGCAAGAAATAACGGCTAAGGGGATGAAATAGTTGACGACGAAAAGGAGGAGGTATATTCCTCGAAGAGCCCTATCTGGATCACCCAAGATGTAAACAAATAGCATGCAATAAGAAGAATTATTGTAGTCTTCCACGGTTTGAATAACAAGGAAAATGGACATGGAGACCAGTGAGCCGATCCAAATAAATGGAACGGTTAGTTTAGGCTTTCGAAACCAAAGATGGCGGCGGAGGGGATGAACGATGGCATAGTACCTGTCGATCGCCATGAACATCAGGCAGAGGACGGATGCTGTTATAGTGACATAGGCAGTGTATACAACACCTTTACACATGACTTTTCCAAATACTCCCGGGATCATCCACAAACCGTCTGTATATATTGTGGAAATCGACCAGGGCATCACAATCAGGGTTACAAGCAAATCAGCGATGGCCATGTTGACGAACATAAAGCTTGTCAGTGATCTGACTTCAGGTTTCTTCCACACGATGTAGATGAGGAAGCCATTCCCTGCAAACGCTACGAGCATCGTGATGGCGTAGAGGACTGTCAAAACAATCCACTCGGTATCTGGTTTCATCTTTAGTTCCTAAAGTTTAAGTCTAGTTGCTAAAGTTTACTAGGATTACACTGTTATTACTGAATAAATAATCAGTAAAGGGAACACTCATGGCCCCCCTAAAATCTTATTGGATACCAACCTGGGATGTGGTGAGAGGAATCGATTCTAAATTCAAAGGAAACAAAAACATTAAATTTTTTTTTTTTTTTAACAAAGTTCACTTTGGTTGAGTCGATGATATTTCGGGACGCCACTGAAGCTGTGAACAGGAACGGAAATACTGGAAACAGGAAAAGGAATGCAGCAGGACATTTTGATTTTCCCCATAAATAACCCTAGTGAAAAAATCTTAGGGTGCGTTCCTTTGGGAGAATCCGGATCAGGATTTCTGATCTGTGGCGTTCCCTTCGAACAAATCCATTTTCAGATCAGTGATCTATCAAATCCACTCTGGACAAGGATTCGTCGGTTCACTGATCTGGGTGATCTAATGACGGATCATTGGATCACTGATCCAACGCGTTCCTTTAGGCGAAGGATCCGAAATTAATCATTTTGCCCAGCGGTGCTCAATTTCAAACTAGTAGGTACCTCATATATTGACCGGAAAGATTGTTGGCAATCCTCCACAAATTCTGCGATAAACAGGAAATAAAATCGATTTTGTAATGTTAAATCGATCGGCCACTGATCGCAGGCATTCAGGGTTCTCCAGTATCCATATCGTAGTCAATATTTGCTTCTATTTTAATTCCATCGTTTGAGTTTACCATGAAAAAATGTGCTTCTAATATGCTAAAAGCCCATGCAGTAAGACGATCCATTAAGGGAAGAGCTCAATAACTCACGTACATACACAAGTCTTAAAATAGCGTACTTTTTCGGAATTCTCTGAGAGCTCGTCTAAAACTCCGTTCCTTTCATGCGCCGTGATCTGTGTGATCTTAGTAATGAAGTCATGGTTAAGCACTTCTGCATAGATGTATTAAGTATTCTCATCCTTAAAATATATAAATACTGGTCTTCGTTGTTGGTTTGCCTTTATGACGAAAGCGTTTCTAATTTGTCATCTTCTTATTTGTCGTTTTCCGTCCCGATGAATAAAGATAACTTTCAGAAACAGTTTTTTTTTATTATTATTTTCAATTTTCTGCACGGTTCCTTCATTTGTTCGCATAATAACAATAACGAAAATTACCAGAAAAATTATCAGAAGGAAACGATAACAATGTATGATATCTTATTGAAGACACCGTTGGCGCATGTATATAATTATTTTTGATGGACTGTAATGTTGTTAGAATTAGTTTGGAAACAGGAAATCAATCTGCCTATATATTCGCCTTACAAAGTCAACTTGTTTCCCTCCAAATTGTTGTGAGTTAAGAAGCGTTGAACGTCTCATGGCAGTTGAACGTACCTGCGATAGAATGCACTGAAGTCCGCTGTCAGCAAACAGACTTGTAGCCTCTTATTACTAAAGGAAGATTAAAAAAAGGAAAAAATAACATTTCAACCGCACTGATCCGGGCGTTTTTTCAGGTTGATCTGAAATAAGAAACACGGCAAACCTTTGGAGATCGATAAAGTTGCTTCGCCTGTCCAACGGTTTGAGAATTCAATGGCCCGAGACTGAGAAACCCTGATGAACTAAAGAGGTTATTCCTGATCCCTTCCCTTTTTTAACCATTTCAAAATTATTTGCTATGAATATTAATGCGGGTCTCGGTCGCATCTCTTCTTGACAGCTGGACAGGAATATCAAACATAAATGTTTGCGTGTGGGAGTCCTCAAATGGATCTCAAATCCAACATGCCTCATATCAATTTTCAAGACACATACAACACGGGATTTGTCTTCCGCTTTGAAAGTCACAGAAAAACTACTTAGAGCTCAGTCAAAAGGTCAAACTTATGAACACCGTTTAGAAGCTATTTGTCTCCAAAGCAAGCCTTATGTGATAGATTTGAGTTAAGTTACATAGAGGCAGAGTATTTTTTATGGATGTTACCCATAATTTATTGAATAGGGATAATTATTGATTTACCATCAAATTAGGACATGTCACATGTCATTTACAGTCCGTTCCTATAAATAATCCCATTTTTGCCTTTGATCTCCCCGTTGATTTTAATTCATAAACTTGAGTATAAAAAACAAACAAACAAGAAAGAAACCCTCTTTACGTGCAGAAATTCAAGATTAACTCAAAAAGAAGATTTTGTACTTTCTCGCTAGTCTTAAGGCAGGTGCTCCGTATTTTAAAATTCATTTTAGTGGGTAATTAGCCAAGTGGTCTCACGAACAGTGTGACAAACCAAAGAGAAAGTTGCCTTCGGTGGAATGAACAATTTCAATGTAATCTAGGAAAGTGAAGGAAATCTGGGGAAATTGCGAAATTATGTTCTACGTATGTCATTGTACTTCTTTGTGAATTTGTCGGTTTGTTCTTGATCATGAGCAGCTGTGAATCAATGACAGACCTTCAGTGGGCTCTATTAGTTCGACAAAAAAATAATGCACTGGGCAAATAACACGCAATTAAGTTTAATAAAAAAAAAATGATAATTTAGCTTTAAGTCAATGGCGTCTTGGAACGCAAGGTTTTGTTATTTAGAATTCTATGGTGATTGATCCTAACAATGCACAAAAAGTGGAGACAAATTCCTTATAAATTTGTTTCCTTACACTGTGTTTTCATAGCCTGCATAATCATGGGAAAGCACACGTCACATTTCGGATCACTTTACTGATGTCAAAATTAAAATGTTAAAAACGAGAACTTTTCCAATATTTTACCTCAATGAAACCAACATTTCAACGTTCACTACAAAATCAAAACAAATCTCAATTCTTGTACTTGTTGTGCCTGAGTAAATACTTGTTTAATATAACACAAACGAAAAGCTCTCTCTCATGAATTAATTGATATAGTTTCCAATCGTTGTTTCTTTAATTTGACTTCAAGAATCTGTAGTCAACTTTGGCCTTTATGTTTAAAGGTGCAGTTTCTACATTTCCCCAAGAGTCTCTATCAGCCTGACTGTTAATGAAATAGTTCAATCAATGTTTGATGGATGGTGCATTGACAGGGGATAGGAATAGCGCTTTGACGCGGCGCTTTGCAGTTTTACATTTCCTGAACTAATCAATTCCTAATGATTCAAGTTTAGGAATACAGCCTTTTTTTTCAGTTTTTGTCAAGATCATGTCGCATTCATATCGAAAGAAGCAGCCAGAATAAATATTTTTTGCGTGGCGCTAAATGCTGTTGTGAAAAATTATCTTCAAAACCAGCTTCTGCGAGGTAATTTGACGCTGAACAGCTAGGACCACCCAATTATTTATCTTCAGCTTTTTGGAAGACAAAAACGTACGGAAAGTTTCTTTGCTTTTTGTTCAGGCGCAAAAGAGAAAACTTGGTGAGAACGAAAGCTAATTCAGTAAAAAAAATTCTGCATGAACACTCTTTCGTTCAGATGCAAATTGACATAGGATCTTTAGCATAATAATCTATCTTACAAGAGACATTTAAATTTAAACAAGATATTGCGCCCGTTTGGCCCTTCGCTAATACTCGTATGGTTGAGTAAGTGTTGGAATAAACTTGGAACATAAGCACCCGCTCTGCTTAACCAAGGCGAAATATTTCAAGTCTCCATAGTTAAACCGGCACATGAATCGTTTTCTTGAACGTAGCATTTGTATGATTGAGGAATCATTGCGGTATCAGGAAGTAGCCCACATAACAAGAAAATCCGGCCGAGAAACTAAACCATATTTCAAATATCGTCAGCAACATTTTCATTTCCACAAAAAAGATAAGCTCATGGTATGAAAATCATCAAGAGACTTACTTACGGCATATGAGACTCCTGCTTGGATCAAATTACATTAAACGAATAAGGCTTACATCACTTACCATCCACAACTGAATCAGGTTCAGTGTATTTTGGCATAGAGCCCTGTGGCTGCCTTGTTCGTTCAGTTTAAAATGCTACCAAAAATGAGCACAGAGGGGAGAGGTTTAAGTTTTAAAAATACCGTGTGATAGTCACTGGAGCTCGATGTATGAAATGACGCTTATCTCATGTGACACGATGGCTGAGCAAACCAGAAATGAAAAAGACGCATGTACAGGTACGGTTGAGCCGTGCGACGATAAGCGTCAAGCGACGATGCCTACGTAGATGATAATAAAACTGACCTAGACACCTCTTAGCGATCTGTGTACTCGTTTAGTTGGAGATTCGAGCAGAATACCCCTATTACTGTATAGTTAGTTCATTGGCAAGCTAGCGGAAGTTGTTGCAAAGGGGCTGCTCTGAGTCGCGGATTTTGTTCTTACTGTGCTATGGGAAACGAAACTGGAGGAGCTTCTAGCCATGGTAAAGACACCAGAAATAGGTTTAAAATAGCATAAAATTGTGGCCGTGCAGTGTTGAAATGACATAGGTTTATCAACACAGGTAAGCGAGTTAGCTGTGTGAAGTCTTCCTTCGATCAGTTGACAAAACGAACTGGTTTGACTGGTGTGTCCGTTGGTTTGAGGAGTAGAACGTTTAGTTCGATGACAAACACACTGGTTCAAAGCTATCACTCTACGCTATCATCAAACCAAGTCATCTACCAGCGCCGCTTAAATAAAATAATGGGAGCATCTACACAACTAGTGGCGTGTTTGACTCGGCAGAGGATGAAAGAACGAGGAATAATGGATGTGCGTGTTTAGTCTTAGGTCTATATATGTGGTGGCTTGGGTGGCATAGCAGTGGATGAAAGAACGAGGAATAGTCAAATCATATGCAAACTTAGGTCTATATAGCAAAGAATTTATGTCTGGAAATTGCTGGTACGGTTGAACCGTGCGAAGGAAAAGCGCTCGCATCAAGCGACGATCAAAGTGCTTGTATCAAACGACGATGCTTAAAGGAGGTTTAAAAGTCCTTAAAAGGATTACAACTCT